TCCACAGGGTGTATCAAAAAAAGCGCAATCCTCGACTGAAATGTAAATTGCTAAACAAATAATAGACGAAAACGTTAAAGTTTACATTCATTTTAAAGCGTAACCATTCAGCTTTCTAACAGTGGGTTGTTTCTTAAATTTGACTCATTGGTTCGCGGGTAATAATACTTTACGTTATTGCGATTGGAGATTAAAAAAATTGAGATGGAATAACTAAACGTTCTCATGAAAATAACTGATTTTTTCATTAAAACAAAAAAATGTTGCATTTATTAAATGGATTGTAACAATAAGTATAATTACGGCTTTTCTTCCACTATTTTTAACTCAGTTTGAAACTTCAAATGCGATATAATTTTGGCTTGGACCATCTAAGCTTACTGACATCAACTTGCTATAATTTCTGTTTACATTACATCGCAATTCGATGACACTCTGGCTCAGACACCAGAATGTTTTGACGATTTTTAGCATTCGTTTAGGATTTTCAAACAACCTGGTCTCTTTTAATATACTTTTAATTTGTTCTTACGTGGTTTTCCAGATGTAGTGACGACAACATTAAAGTTTAAAGAAGAAAATTCTAACATTTAAACCGACTAAACAATAACATAGTAAACTTGCATAATTAAACAGCAACTAAAAATGATAGGTTTACTAAATCTTTTCCTGTGCAATTATTACTAGCATTGGAGACAAGGATAATAGTTTGTTTGAAAGAGAAAAGAACAGGCTTTGAAGTAAGCCTAAAAACGTTTAACTAGAAATAGTATTTCGAAAGTTATTAAGCACAAAAGATGAATTGCGTTTATTTTGATACACCCTGTATTTCTACTGAGTTTAAGAACTTGTTTCCAATACCGCGAACCTGTTGCTTTATACTGGAATTTCCCTGTTTAGCTTCAGCACAAACTTTGCGTAACAATTCACTCGTGCCTTTTTGTGCCTTTGAAATGTAGGAGACAATATATACATTGCACAGGCATAAACATCAAGCACAAACTGAATGTCCATGTTAGCTCGCCATGCTTGGAGACATGCAGGATTGTAATTATTAATTCTTAATTCATTCGGACTTCGTTTTAGAAATATTGTTGGACAATTAAGCGATGATCTATAAATTGCAAGAATATAATCGTGTTCTGAAACATCTAAGTCTTTTAGAAGTTGGTCAAATGTCACGTCTTCACCCTCTTTCAGATCATTCAGTTTATTCTTAATGTCTTTCCATACGTCTTTTCTGCTTCTTATTACAGTCCGAGAAGTACCATCATCCAGTGGATAAAGTATTTGTGTAGATCTCATTGGTGGTTGGAGATAATTGAATCTACAAATTTTTTGGGCGTTTTTTCGGCACGTGTGAGAATGCTTATGAGTTTGTCTGTTTACAAATTCAAGTAATTTTGAGTCATTTTCTGGCTTACCACATGTTATTATTTTGTCAATGAATGCAGTGACATCTTCATCTTTATCAACACCAAACACAGGCGCGTTTTCAAGCCATATTAACATGTGAATATGAGGTGACCCTCGCTGTTGGTACTCAACCCTGTAAAACCAATCTTTTATTTTTCCAACAGGAGCAATATCACTCACAAACTTTAAAAAAGTATTGAATTGGTAATCAAAATGCCTTGCACATGTTACTGGATCACTTTGGATAAGTCTACACTTTTCATCCCATGTAAGATTGTCTAATTCTTTATCACTATAATCTTTGTGGTAAATAAGTTTACCAAGGATCCTTAATGAATCGTTCCATTTTGTTTCAGCAGACGAAAAACTGCAAAATAGCGATGCTGGTTCTAATTGGCGAATCATGGCAAACAGGTCTTTTTTAGCTTTTTCAAAGTAAGGTGGTGAACCTCTTAAAGCTCTTAAGAATTTATACCCCTCATCATGGCGAATTAAACTTTCTAAACCTTCAGGTGTTTTCAACTGTCCTGCATTGAGTGTTCTATTTCCCAATTTGCACTTTCGTAGGGCTACCTGCGATTGTCCAAGCAATAATTTCATCTGTAATTTTTTGGCTTTAAAGAATATATTCTCAATGCACATCGCAGCTCGTCGATCAGATCGTCTTAATTCTGATTTGCATATTTCGCTATAGTAAACAGTTTTTAATCTTTGATTAGGGACCGCTCATTATTTATTGTACAGGGGGGGACTGAGGAGAAACTCTACAGTTATAATATTTTTTCATTGCCCCCCTCTTAAGACAAGTGAAATTTTCAAAGCCCCCCTCAGCAGGCAAAACAAGAACATAAATTTTGCCCCCCCCCCTAGCTCTTTATCTTTATTTAGAGAAACGAAAACTCCAGCTGTTTATTTTAGAGAAAGAAAAATAGGTAATGGGGACCAATAGACATTCCCATTATAGACTAATTTTTTATCTTAGCAAAAAAAGTATATTCCCGGGAAGGGCATACTAAAATGAGTAAAATTCCAAAGTTTGGTTGCAAAATGTTGTAAAATATGTAGAAAATATAGCCTTCCAAAGTTTGCAAATTTTGTATTCTTTTGTATAATTGCAATTTTCGCATGCAATACAAAAGTGTACAAAATTTGCAAACTTTGCAAGGCTATATTTTCCGTATTTTGCAACAATTCGCAACCAAACTTTGCAATAATTTACTTATTTTAATATGCTCTTTCTAGCTGTGGTGATTTATTTGCATCAAGGCCGGATTTTGAGGGAAGTGTGGAGAGGTGCGCACCTCCCCAGAGATCGTTTTGCACCTCCCCTGAGAATTTTTCCACCTCTCTTGAAAGGTCATGCACTTTCCCTTGGAAAGTTTCAATGATGGAACAAAGTGAAAATGTGATGGTTGCTTAGGATCTACACTTTGTGACGTAAGAAAGTTTTCTCTGTAAAATTGAAACAGTGATAGCCATGTCAAGCACCCTTTTAATGCAATGTTTTGAAAGAAACAGTGTAGCAATTGTAATGAAGGGCAAAATTGGAGTCATACATTCATAATTCATTAATACACTGGTACATATTATGTACACTACATGCATACCTCACCTCGTTGATATAGGCCTGTTCTACAATAAGCCCTAACTTTCCATGGGAGTTGTGAGCTAGACCGCTGCACCTCTCCTAAATTTTTTGTCCACCTCCCCCACTATTTTCACCAAAATCCGGCCTTGATTTGCATCTCTTTGCCTAGTTCTAAAATTAGTCTATAATGGGAATTGTCTATTTACATGAACACGAGACTTTTTATTTGACTTCCATTTATGAATATTAAAGTCTATAAATATTGTTATTTGTTGTTAAGTTGTTTTGTGATACATTTTTAAAACTACTGTTTTTTCAAACTGGTAAATATTTTCAAAGCCCCCCTTTTTTCTCAAAGCCCCCCCTTTCAGGTTTTGAAAAATTTAAAGGCCCCCCCAGTTTCTCCTCAATCCCCCCCTGTACAATAAATAATGAGCGGTCCCTTATTATCAGGTCTTTTTTGACCCAAAAATATTCCTAAGCCATTTCCTCTGAGAACTGATCTCTAAATAGACTGATGGGTCTACCATCCTCAGCAGGGGCAACATTGTATATGTGCTGCCTTTCATCATCATCTACAAAATCTGGAGACGTTAACATACTGTCAGTCACACCAGCAGGTATCTCTGCTTCTTCTTCACTCCACTCTTCGTCTGAAGAAACTGAATTAGTTTGATCAACCGATGTTTTATTTTCATTCTCGTTATCTTCATTTGATATTACAGGATTAAAGTTAGCTATCCAATCCGCATCAAATGTTATTCCTTGCTCCCTATATAAATCACTAGTATTTACCAACCAAGCAGCAGCTTGCATAACTTTACTGGGTCTTACGTTTAAAGAAAGTGCAGAACTTTTATATTGTAGTCAGTGTTGAGCCCTCTTGTATTCTCTTTGTTTTAAAATCCTTTCTGCTTTATTTTCAACCGACTCATTTTGTTTTGTTTCAGTCAATTTTTTCCGTTGAGCTCTCTTGTCTTCTCTTTGTTTTAAAAGCCGTTCTGCTTTATTTTCAACCGACTCGTTTTGTTTCAGTCAATTTTTTCCGTTGAGCTTTCTTGTATTCTCTTTGTTTTAAAAGCCGTTCTGCTTTATTTTCAACCGACTCGTTTTGTTTCAGTCAATTTTTTCCGTTTAGCTTTCTTGTATTCTCTTTGTTTTAAAAGCCTTTTAGGCCGTGTTTCTTTACCCTCAAGCGACTCATTTTGTATATTTTTAAACATTTTCGGTTGAGCTCTAGTGTCGCACTCGTTTTTTGTTGAAGACCATTTTTCCTTGTGGTCAACTGACTGATTTGGTCTATGTGGTTCAATACTTAACAAATCATTGTTTCTATGACATTTAACACCTTTCAATTCAAACAGACTACCAAAATTCTGGGTGTGATGGTTTCGGAACAGTCTGAAATAGCTGACAAGATTTTGTACACCTTCAACAGAAATCAAAGCGCTATAACCTAGTTCACATGGTATGCCATGCATATTCAGTGAATGAGAATCAAAAATTTTAAATACATCTGGAAACGGCATAAAAACCGCAACAGTAGTGGCGTCAATAGTTAGTAAACAAGCTCTGTAATTACCAATATCAAATACTTGGTTGAACGAATGTTCAAGTGTAACATGTGGATAAATGTTTTCATCCAACAATAAAGCCCCAGAAAAGGACTCACTATATTCCAATTTGAAAGTATTGTTATTAATTGATGCCATCTCTGGTACCTCACTGAGCAACAAGAAATCCTTTTTAATGTGTTGACTAATGATACTATATAGATTATTTCCATTTTCTAGAATGGTGTTCAGAATTGATGTATTCCAAATATTAACAGATTTTATTTCACTGTATAAAATTGCATAGACTGACATTGCACCACACTGTTTACCTGCATTGAATCCAAATAAGGATTGATTACCTTGATTATAGTTGGCACAAACTGTGTAAGCAGGATCAACTATTTCATTAATATTGACAGGGCCAGGATTGACCTCGACATCATTTGAAAGTCTCAACAATAAAGGTACAAAAACATGATAATACACCATCTGTGCATACAGACAATTATGAATTGGTTTAGTTTCCTTGTTAACTAAGTGTTCTAAAAATCTCAAACATGGACATTGAATAAATTTTAGAAAAAAATAATCACTGGTACAAGGCCCTGTATTGGGACGAGGCCCAGTATTGCAATAATGATGTTCAGGTATTACATTGGCACAAGGGTCTGCATTGGAATGAGGCCAGGTATTGGGACAAGGCTCTGTAATGGGATAAGACCCAGTGTTGGGATGAGACACAATATTGGGACAAGGCCCTGTATATTTGGGATGAGGCCCGGTATTGCAATGATGTACATTGGCACAAGGGCCGGCATTGGAATGAGGCCAGGTATTGGGACAAGGCCCTGTAATGGGACAAGGCCCAGTGTTGGAATCATACACAGCATTGGGACAAGGCCCTGTTTTGGGACGAGGCCCTATACATGTGGGACAAGGTCCTGTATACTTGGGACAAGGCCCGGTATTGGGACAAAGCCCAGAATTGGTATGAAATTTGGTGTTGGGACAAGGCCCAAAATTGAGTGGCTTGGTACTGGTGCCAGGCCTGGTACTAGTGCCAGGGCTGGTACTCGGAGGTCTGGTACTGGGATGGCATCCAGTTTCATTGCACAACTGAAGCAGTAATTCATGTTTTGGACACTGTAAAAGGGCATGACATCTAAAAGAGAAATATTTACTTTGATCATGATCAGTTGTCTGTTAAAATATAGTCTTAAATGCACTATATTAAATTTGTGGAGAACCACAATGCATCAAAAGTCTCACGGCTGAGATGGGAGCCAACTGAACGCTGAACTCAAGAGCCAGGGAAAAACAACATTTAATTTTGTTAGTTTTACAAGCAAAATCAAATAAATGGAACAAAGCTACAGCTATTTACAAGTAACTGTTTCCATTGCAAACACTGGTGCTGCAAATTGGCTGGACCTTAACCTTAGCAAGATCATTTTGGATATTATAACAAGGGAAAGGTTAGTCTGGATTTCAAATTGACAAATAAAACACAGGTTTGAAATGTAAACATTCCTAGCTAGGGGTGAAATGTAGTCAAAAACTCAAAATACTGGCGCCAAGCACGCTTGCAAAAGAACACAACCTATTATAATAACTTTACATCTACTAACATATTAATACCATGAATACTGTTTATACATGCATTCACATGCACGGAATAGTTCCAACTTTTCTGCTCATTCACAGGTAAGACAATATTAAATTAAATTATCATATATAGTAGTGTCAACAAAATATAAATAGTGCGCAGCTAAAACATCAAAGACAAAGTCTTGAAAAAACTGCCATGTCTCAGTCACATGTCTCAGTTACAAGTTCATTAGATTGCATTGCAAGAAGTTACAATGTTATCATCCTTAAACATAATTTCGAGGTCTGTCAACTACTCCAATAACTTCTCACTTATATCTTCTTCTGTCAACTCATTCACATTCGGCTTATCAACTAACTTTCCCAGGACATCGCTAAAAATTGTGAGTTGAATTTCACTGTCATCTTCTTGAACAGTGAGCTGACAAGAAACATCGATGTTATACAATCTGCCAACCGCATTCTATGCGAACATCGCATGCATTTCACAATTTTAGTGCGCAAGCCTTGGGAAAGCTTTTTGTTACAATGATTACAAGTATGATACTTATTGACTTCTACCGACCTGATAGATGCACAAATAATGTGGTTTCGCTTGGCTCTTCTAACATCTGCAGCGCTACAGATTCTTCTACCTCTTCCATGTCATCATCATCATCAACAAGAGTAAACACTGAATTTTTAGTTGTGGTGAGTGTCTTGGTCACGTAGCTGAAGTTGACTTTAACATCATCAATAATGTACACTTTGCTATCTTGTATGGCATCAATCTCGCTCTCCCAAATAGTCAGAAATATAGTGCTTGTGCCATCAGTAATCGTGCTTTTGAGCATTCGAAGACCTCTGTTTCCAACGGACTCCACTTTGCTTCCTTTCTTTATCTTCACCTTTACGCGAATCTTCTCGCCAGCTTCGATCTTTTCTTTTACTTCTTTCAGTGGTACGAGTCTGGATTCCTCATCAGTAATATACTGGAAATTGTACTGCGAGGTGGTAGGTGCGCTAACAACAGCCATGTCATTAACTTTAATTTCTTGTTCGTCACCTTGCCAGGTTGGTCCGATGAGATAGTTACTGATCTGAACAGGACTAAGGCCCGTTTCATACGTCGCACTATCGTCGAATTTAATTCAGACGAATTTAATTGAACCAATTAAATGCGACGTTAGTGCGTCGTATGAAACGAATTAAATCCGTCTGATGAATTAAATTCGTCCAAGACGTTGTATCCGTCATGATCAGACGGATACAACGTCTGTAGCGCGTCTTCGTTTCATACGACGTGTTATCGTCGTGTCGAATTAAATGCATAAATTATGTTAAAGTCTGTTTCTCTCTTTCTGGTCTCGTGGTTTTTTACTTCTGGGTAATCCATGATCGCTAGACATGAAATGAATTCGTCTGAATTAAATTCGTCGTTTGAAACGAAACCATTTTAGTGTCGACCAATTGACAAATTTAATTACGAATTAAATTCGTCTGAATTAAATTGGACGTATGAAACAGGCCTAAGCGTCTCTTGCTTTTCCTGGAAGATGTCTCGTTTTGCCTTTGAAAAGCAAACAACCCTCATACGTTTATCTTTCATTTGCAATTCCAAGTCACACCATTTCTTCTTTTTTCCTTGCTTTAGGGGAGAAAGTTTATGCACGTATCCGATTACAGGACTTGTCACTAATTTGGAACTCATTTTGCTATTTATATGTGTACAAACACTCGTATTTACTGCGTATTGTGCGATGTTTGCGAAAACCGAGAATATTTATTGGCTAAACACATCACCTGACCAACGCGTCACAAGCGCTATCTGCTTGTCTATTGGCCTTTTGATATTGTGATTGACAGCTAATTTGTCGAGTGAGAAAAATTCGTATCACAACACGCGACAAAACGTCTGATTCAGTGTTGCCTGATAAAAAAAACAAGGATGTCAAAAATAGCCATGACCAGGAATTAAAATATTTGTGAGAATTGGAAATAAAATTCACCACAAATTTGTCACAGGGTCAGGAATATTATTAGTGTAATTCGTCACTTTGTCACATAAAATTGACTATGCGAGTTGTTTTGCCTGAGTTTTACAGTATAATACCGACACCGCCCCGTCTCGGGCCCTGATTTAATAGTTCATGAGAATTTATACAGTATTTACGGAACGCAATACGGCTATGGCTATGTGCACGGCTTTTACATTGTTCTATATAACTAGCCAGTATTACTTTAAGTGATCGTGAACTGTATGTATAAAGCCGAAAATAACAAACCAGAAACTTAACTATAAACTGCCAATAATACTGCTAATTATGCAGTACAGTAGTAATACATCCATTTAAAAGAATTATAATTGAACTTACGGAACGCGAAAGCTTTTATACTAGTACTGTAGTAGTGCACATAGTAAATTGTGTTACACTGTACAATGCCATAAAATTAAAAAATTAAACGAGGCTTACCTGTAAGGTGAAGTTTGATTTGAATTCTACGAGTCATTGGTCAGGAACAAAGAAGTCACATTCCCACCCTTAAGTGAATGTGGAGGCTATACATGCATATCCCACCCTAAAAATTATGATTATGTGTTCATTCACAGCTGGTTTTAAAAACTGAATGCTCCGATCTCCCGCGCTCTATCTCTCTCTAGACTTCTTTGTTCCTGACCAATGACTCGTAGAATTCAAATCAAACTTCACCTTACAGGTAAGCCTCGTTTAATTTTTTAATTCTACTTCATCATTGGTCAGTTCACAAAGAAGTCACGTGAGACTTTAAAGCAATGTGTCCATGAACAGCTTGACAATGTGTCAAAACACAACACAATTTATTTGTTTACATCTTGATAAGATAACAACAAATGTTCCCCAAAATTAGCGGAATGTTCTATTGGTTTATTATAAAACCTTTGGAATGTGGTTTCACTGGACCATCCAGCTGCTTTCATAATAATATTAATTGGCAGTTTTGTAGAGGATGCTGCAGATATGGATGCAGAACGAGTGCTGTGTGCACCATAACAACTTGTATCAATACCAGCTTTTCCCATTACAGTTTTGATCCACCTTGCAATAGTATCTTTGCTTACTGGCTTATGTGGTTTGTTAAAACTAAGCCATAACTCATTATTTCCATCTCTCACCACACTTGTTTTAAGCAAATATTGCTTGAGGCATGTCACCACGCACAGAAGCTTGTCAACTGGGTATGCTTTAAATACTAGTGGTTTAAGATGCTTTCCAGGCTTGGAAGTCTTTAGCAGAGTATTAATTTCAAATGTAATTTGGTTATCCAATTGTTTCATACCACTCAATGTGAATGCATGTACTGTTTGACATCACTGACCGGATAACAAAACTACCAACATAACAGTTTTAAATGTTAAGTCTTTTAGCTTTAACTCCTCAACAGGTCCCATTGTTCTTAAGTAGTTCAATACGTCAGAAACGTTCCATGTAGCTTGATATGGAGGAAGAGAGGGCCGAGATTCGAAAAACACCTTTCAAAAATCGGGTTACTAAGGGATGACTGCCAAATGATTGGTCTGTGGGAAATATAACTGTAGAAAGTGCACTCCGAATAGTGTTTAAAACACTGTACGATAACCCCCTCTGGTATTCAGTGAAGAGGAATTCGATTCCATTTCCTACAGTTGCACAAACTGGATTAATCCCCCTCGTGGGTGTATCGCCTGTGGATCTGCTTGTAGGATCAGTGTGTTCTGTCTCCTAGGTAAAATCACAGGGTATTGTATAAGCATATTCATTAGGTAAGGCCACCAAGCTTGTGTGGGCCAATATGGAACAATAATCAAGCCTGTGGCTTGGTCCTTCTTTACTTTTTGAAGAACTTGGTGAATAATGCAGAAAGGAGGAAAGCATAAATTTTATACATTCTCCATGACAAATGAAAAGCATCAATTGCATATGCTTCTGGGTCTGGTGTGTAAGCAACATAGGGCTTAACCTGGTAATTAAGCCTAGAGGCAAACAAATCAATATTAGGAGAAAACCCCAATTTTGAAACTACGGCATTAAAAATGTCCTTGTTAAGAGACCATTCAGTTTCTCGTCGAGATGCACGAGATTCTCTATCAGCCGCAGTGTTTTGTTTCCCTGGAATATGTGCCACAGTGAGCCATGTATTGTTAATTATATACCATTCCCAGATTTTTGCCACTAATGTATTATTTGCTTTAGAGTGACAAGTGCCCATGTTGTTGATAGAAAACACAGCCGTAGTGTTATCAACTAGCAGTTTTACATGTTTTCCGGCAACTGCAGAGGAAAAAGATTGCAATGCCAAGAAAACTGCTAGGATTTCTAAGTAATTTATGTCCTTTGCCCTTTCATCAGGTGTCCAGTTCCCACCTGTTGTTGTGGTGTCTATACAGGCCCCCCATCCAGTCAAAGATGCATCGGTAGATATAGTGACTTCAACCTCCCCATGGTTTATTGGGTTATAGGCCTCTGGTAGGGATGTTATCCACCATTTTACATCTGTTATAGATTCCTGTGATATAGACATTTTCCCCTCAAAATTCCCTTTACTTTGTTTAAGGGCATTTGTTTTGTCCATGTCCAGAGATCTATAGTGGAGTGGGCCAAACATTACCCCTGGGAAGCTAGAAGTCATAATTCCAAGCACCTGGGCTACCTCTCGGATGGTGGGACAAGCATTTTGAAGCAATTTTTGGCAAGCCTCAATTAATTTTTTGAGCCCTTTCAGGTGTCAATGACACACACATCTTTAAGGAGTCCAGGACAAAGCCTAAAAACACAATTCGGTGTGTAGGAATAAGTAGACTTCTCTGGGTGCATGGATTGGCATCTTTTAAATCTATGAAAGCCATATAGCATCCAGGGGTCATTGACCTTATTGCAGACCAGACAGTCTCCATTTTAAAATGGTAATAGGTAATAAACGTGTTAAGTGATTTTAAATTCAAGATCATTCGAAGAGTGCCATCCTTTTTTGGACGGGTAAAAATTGGAGAGACAAAATCTCCCTCTTCGCGTGTGCATGACACAATAACACCCTTGTTAAGGAGTTTTCCAATTTCATGATCTACCAGTTTGGTTTGTGCCTCTGTGAATTTTACATTCATCAAAGTTTTCGACTGTACAGGAATTTCAGAGAATTCAATTCTCTGACCAGTCAGTATCTCCATTATTTCTGGATCCGACGTTAAAGCTTGCCATTCTTTAACATAGGCAGCTAAGTTTCCCGCTTTAAACATTTTTACTTTATTTTCAAGATAAACTAGCAAGGAAGGTAGGAGTGTATTGTATGTGCTTACCTGCAATTCGGTCAAAATGTTGCTCATTGATTTTCCTGATTCCCCGATTGATTGGACCGATATTGTTTGTACTTTCTCCTGTATTGGGGTTTGCCGCCCTGAGGCGGCTGTTTCCATAAAAAAAGGCTTTTGTTGACCAGATCTGGCTGGTGCCTGTTAAGGCGAGAAATGGCGCCTTGGTGGATAATATTCGGAACCACTTGCCGTATTTTTTATTTTATTCGATGCCCGTATGTGGTTCAGTTGTGTTTGCAATTCGTCCCCGAAAAGCAAAGTGGTAACAGGCCCATGGGAAGCACACAGTGTAGCATACTCCTTATTGAGTGTTGGACGAATAACATCACGTCTTCGTTGAGCCAAATCATAACTAATGTGGGCCATAATAGCAATGGCGTCCATATTCTTGCGAATAAGGTTTTCGATGTGGACTTCGCTGTTTTCCGCACGAGCTGTCAACAACATATCTGTTGCTTGCGAGACAATATTACCAACCGCTGCTAGGTTAGTTTGCAAGTATGACAGCTTTAGATCTTTGCTTCTTGTTTCTTTGTCGAGACGCCCCCAGATTTCTGGGTTGACCTCCGGAGTAATGAGTCGGTCACAGTTAACCGGACGCAAATGGGTATCAAGTTTCTCACGAAGGCTTTCATCACTCAGCTTGTTTAGCCAGCGAGAGTTGATGATTTTTGCTAATTGTTCAGCAATTTTGGGGGCGGATTTTTCCGCGTCATTCATAGCTTGTGCGATTTCTTGTACGAAAATCATGTATGTACAGTAATTAGGTTCGGCCTATTTCCGTGATCTGTCGGCCATCTCCCTATTGCTCGACACGAAATCGTAACTGCACGTAAAAGTGGACAGGACAGGACAATTGGACAGGACAGATTTTAAGTATATGATAGTTGTTATTAAAAATTAATAATATTCTAGAAATTAAAATAATGAGATTAAATATAGTCTTCGCTTCATGTCACCAAATCATTGCTCTTTGAAGATGTCGGCCTTTCACTAAATTATTTATCGTCTCATTGTTAATCCACCGACATGTGTCAGCTACTTTTTACTACCTGGTAAAATCAACCGACAGTAAAGTCTATGAACATTTCCCAAACGAAAGTTCCTTAATGTAGCAAGGTACTTGGAAATGAGCACGTGCGTTTGTCTTTTTCCAAATGAACTCTACCCGCATTATTTTTGCCAAAGGTTATGTAGTCAACTGCAGTATCAAAACTAGACTCCGAAGTATAAAGTCTGTAATCAGATTCTTGGAGAAGAAAGTAATCGAGAAACATTGTAAACTGTCCAGCATCTTCTTTTCCTTTCGTTGAACGTCCAACATGCTCAATGGGACCGCTGATATGTCTCACTTTATTGCCATATTTTTTTTTGGCATAGGTCCTCATCCAATCGATATCAACGGCTAAAAACCAAATAATTTTCTTTGTGTGATATTTTTCCCCGATTTTCTTCTCGATTTGCTCTGCACATTCAAAACAAAGGTCATAATCCTTTGATCCATTTATTCTTACATCCCATTGGTTAAAATGACCAGAAAAAATCGCATCTCCATGACGAATATGTATAGCTAGAACTATATTATCGTTGAAACCTAACTCTCCTTTCCATTCATCCAGGCGTTTCTGCAACGGATCAGATTTCTTGAACAAGTAGTAAAAGTTACATCCATTCATAACGAATGGAAACACCGAGGATTTTGCATGATTATACCTTATAAGGTTCGGAAGAACCAAGTGACTAATGCTCATGAAACGTGGTGTGTATTCTATATCATAGGTTAACATTTCTTCGTAAGGTTTTGCATCAGAAAAATTTTTGATGTCTTCTCTTTTAAAACTGAATGATCTTCTAACAGTTAGTCCTGTTTGATTCACTTTGTGATTCCATTTAATGTGTCGTGGTTTTAAATATGTATCGAAGTCTATAGGTTTGTTGCATTCATTAATGAATGCTCGCTTGCTAATCACTGCAAATTGAAAGGAACCAAGCAGGTTTCTGATTTGACTCCCCCATCCACCCCTGCCAGGACAGTCATACAAAATGAATTTATTCCGGTTTGTTTCTAGTAGATGTTGATGAAATTTGGTGTAATCTTTCTCCCACGAATTCTTGCAAATCTCTTCGTAAGCTTTTTCATAATTAATTGCTGGCTTTGGTCTGTCCCCCATTATTTGTGGATTGCCAACACTTTTCCTTTTGAGAGATTCTTTTTCTTCATTGTTTTGTTCAGTTTCGTGGACTGTTTTTGACATCTTTATGGTATCGAGATCAACCGGTATGCTGTAATTATTTGCAATTTTATCTAAATCAAGAAAACATTAGGCTGAGTGTTATACCAGTGTATAGATTAACTATTTGGTATAGTATTATATATTTTATAAAGTCTGCAAATAAATAAGCGGTGTTAACTTTAACCTTAGGGACTTCACAGCACACCATATAGCGAACAACATAGCTGCGAACTACTATTCAGGGCTTTACGCAATAATCTATTGGGAACAAAATAATGTTTCTGAATTGGTTGGATAAGATTTTTGATTTGTTTTTCCGAAATCAGTTTTGATATAACAAAGACTTTGCTGTCAGGGAGAATGAAGTATTTTAATAATGCGCGTGTGCTCATTCTCTACCGGATGGAGATTAAAATTCAAATGAGAATATTTTTGTCAATTTTCTGTCACCACCTACGAACTCAGAGATGTAGAAGCTTCTTATGTCTTGCTATATCTTAAAAGATTCGTTAAAGGTGATAGGAAGCAGATATAATGGCCAATGCCCATTTTGAGGACGTTTAACCATGCATGCAGTAAATATTTTGATGAAAAATATGTTATAAGTATAACAGTCTGTGATTCTTTTGCAACTTACTGTTGAAACAGGATTAATGTATTTTTAAATAAACCGATTCACTTTGCAACTCAAGTTAGCTAAAATCCAATTTTTGCAAATACGCAGGGCAGTTGATGTCTTTAAAACTGAACGAAAGGTTTAAATTTCATTGACATTGGATTATTATTGACGTTGCTCTCGTATACTAAAAATGTGCTTTAAATTTATACTCTCCTGTCACAATTTATTGTATACGTAGTGTTAGGTCCACACTTCACAGCAAACATTCTCTCATTCTCGAGGAGATTATATTTATCATGAATACAGACAGTATAAAAGGTCAAGTACGATGTATACAAACACTAACAGTACAAGTCGGAGGGCCTTCGCTCGAAACGTCAAAGTTCTCCTTGTATTTTTCAGGTAGTTGTATCCCTATCAACCCGAAGCTTTCGTACATATCTATTTATTTTAGTTGTTTTCAATTGGTTTCAGTCTAAAAAGTATCAAATTTTCGACGAGAAATTCTGAATACTTTGTTTATTTTTTGCAACAATTGCCGATCATGCGTACAACTCACGTTGGAATCCAACGGGAATCAATTCGATTTCTCCAGAGCTATGCCCACCCTTAACCTGCGAAGGGCATGCTCTGGGAACGAGATTGGGATTTTTCTTCCATACAATATTCGTGTGTTCCTTATGGTGACACACTTATTAAACAATTGATGAGAAGGAACAAACGCTTGTCGATGCCTTACAGTTGTTTCAATCTTCCCTGCCAGAATTTGCCTTTTATGGACCGTCTCCATCAATTGGAACAAAAGTCTTCATGACAGACAACTGTAGTGAACTACGAGAAGCTTTGGATATGGTTTGACCAAATGCAACGACAGTGTTGTGCATTTTCCATGGCTTCCAGCAGATATACAGTTTCAAATATTTTCTCACAATACAGTCACGTTCGCTACTTTATCGGTATGATAGCATACCATGTTTTGAATTATTGTCCGGGTATGTTCCTTGTATCTTAAAAAGGTGGTCTTACACAAAAATTTTATGGAAAAGTTTGAATTTTGTAAATTTTCAAAAAGGTGGTGTTCTAGTACTTAAAATATCCCAGAATCCGATTGTGTAAGTTATTTGGTCGAAATCGTAGTGCAAAAGCCTAAAATTTAACAAATTCCGTTGGTATTGGCTTTTTCCTTCATAGCAACGCCCTTAGCAACGACTTTGTTTTCTATTCTGCTTTCAAATAAAATCGGGCCGCCTTGATTTCTTTTTACATAAAGTATAGATGAACACCTTCTAAATAACCGCTGGATGTTCTGTTTGCTGTCTGCACTCTGCAATGTGTACACGTTTATTTCAAAACGTTTCGAAGGTATATTTTCAACAATATTTTGCTCTGTTGGTCAACATTTATTGTGATATTTTTACAAAATGACTAGAAGTCATCAAAGAAAACGCAAATATAAGTATCACGGAAACCAGTTTAATAAGAAAAAGAACACAGAACCATTGCAGTGTGATAATCCGGGCAGAAATGTTGAAATTTTAGAGGGACAGTCAGCTTCAGCAAAGAAGGTACGTTTGAAAAATATTAGAGAAGAAAACTGTAGAGAATCATCTATATCCGGCTATTGAGTGTTTAGTATGGTCGTATTGGCCAAAGCTTGTAATAGTTGTGGTGAACAACATATTTACATTACTGAGGATTTTTCCAAAGGAAAAGGTTGCACTTCACTAATACACATGCGTTGTGCTTCATGTGGTTGGCAACATTCGTTTTATACTTAATAATACATTAATTATACATTAAAAATCAAGAACTATTATGAAGTAAACAGGAGAATTGTATATGCAATGAGAGCTATTGGCAAAGGAGCAGAAGCAACCAAGAAGTTTTGTGGTCTCATGGACATGCCTGCACCTCCAAGGCCAAGTGCGTACCACCGCCATAACAAAGCTCTTCTCAAGGCAGCCAGGATGGTTGCTGAAGAGACTATGGCAGACGGTGCATCTGAAATCCGCGGTAATAATGAAGGCATTTCTTAGTGCAGTGTTTCCTGTGATGGTACATGGCAAAAAAGAGGATACTCATCTCTAAATGGCTGTGTCACTGTTCTTTCTATGCAAACAGGGAAATGTCTCGACATCGATATCCTGAGCAAAGTTTGTCATGGTTGTCGAAGAATAAATAAGACCATAGATCCTGAGGAGAAAAGAATTCTTGAGGCTGATCATATTGGAAAGTGTAAAGCTAACTTTAAAGGATCTGCATCGTTAATGGAGCCAACCGGAGTTAAAAATGTTTTTGCGAGAAGCGAAGATAAACATAAGCTGCAGTACACAGAATATTTTGGGGACGGAGATAGCAAAGCGTTTGGTGAAGTAGAGAATACGTATGAAGCTAAGGGTGTTACTGTAGTAAAGAAAGAGTGTGTTGGTCATGTTCAAAAAAGAGCGGGTACTGCTTTGAGGAAATTAAAGAAGGAAACAAAAGGTTTGGGTGGAAAAGGGAAGCTGACTAATGTAATGAATGATCGCCTACAAAACTATTGTGGTATTGCTGTTAGAAGCAATATTGTCAATAAAGAGAACATGAAGAAAGCAATTCGTGCGGCATTTTTCCATTGTGCTTCATCCAAGGAGAATAATTACCATGTCCCTTGCCCTGATGGTCCAGAAAGTTAGTGTAAGTTCAAGAAGGATAAAGCTAACAGCACAAATGAATACAAAGCAGGTCCCAGTCTCCAAAAAGATGTACTCAAAGCAGTTAAGCCTGTCTTTGAAAGGCTCAGTGAAGATAGCTTATTGGATAAGTGCCTTGATGGAAAGACTCAAAACCAAAATCAGTCCCTTAATGGGGTGATTTGGGATAATCTTCCAAAGACTGTGTTTGTCGGAAGTGATACACTGCATCTTGGTATTTATAATGCAGTAGCAACCTTCAGTATTGGCTGCCAAACATCATTGCATATTTTGAAGGAAGCAGGAATAGAGCTAGGGAAGTTCTGCACAAAGGAGATGAGATGCACAGATCTTGTAAGAGTACATAAGGCGAATTACAAAGCGAAGGAGGAGATAAAAGTACGTAAGAAGATAATTAGAACAGCACGAAAGCATCGTAGTGACAAAGCCGAGGAAAAAGAAGGTTACATATGCCCTAGGGCCATTTTAATGATTGAAACACTTTAATAGTTTATCAAAACAATGTTGATCACATATAGACAGCTGTTTTTAGTGGAATATTCCATCAAATTAGAGAAGAAACATGTTACGTAAACTTTACAAGGCTTTTTCTCAATACTGCATATTTCTGGTAGTCGCAAAATTTAAAACACAATATCTGAAGTTGCATTTAACACCTGCTAATGAAACTTCTCTAGTTTTTAGCTTTGTTACTGCTCCAGGGTCTAGACCTAAAATATTCTGGACTTTGTACATTTTGGCAACTTTGTAGCTGCTCGACCAAGAGTCCGAGGCAGCAGTTTTAAGTTTTTAGCCTCAAATTGTCCATCATATAATAAATGCAGGATTTTTTAGGTTTAGAATCTAAATATTGATAACCTTTATCCAAAAACACTGTTTTGAAGTATTTTTATTGGTTAGACTTTCTTTAAACATGTTTTAAAAATTGGACATTTTACCCCCTGCGGGGCCAATTATATCGTAACCATGGTAACAGACTTGTCCGGAAAGTATATTTTTGTGTAAGAGAAACTTTGTTTATTATTTCTGAATATTTCACATAACAAAGTAAGCATTTTAAAGAAAATATATAATTTTTGTGTAAGACCACCTTATTAACATAGATAACAGCCTGGCGGAAGACTTGTTAAAACGTGATTGTTATAACTTATTATATATTCAGTTCATATCTTACAGATAGGCAATTTAAAGTATCGGTGGACAATAACGTGTCTTCAAAAGCTAACGTAGTATCTGGTGTTCCACAAGGATCGATATTGGGACCTTCGTTGTTCATTCTCTACATGAATGACTTACCTCGATCTTCATTTGAACGACACCGAAATTGATCTGTATTCTGATAACACGACACAATATGTGGCTGGTTATGACGTACAGGATGTGGAACATAAACTTCTGAATAGTGATTTGCAACCAGAGGTGAAGTGGTCAGAAAACAACAGGATGGTAGTAAACACGGAGAAGACGAAAACCATGGTTATTGAAAGCAAGTTTAAAGTTCGAGGAAACCTTAACCTTGATCTATATGGCTCTCGGGTTAAGACCACAGATAACGATAAGCTGTTAGGTGCATGTTCCGATTTGACCAGAATTTCAACTGGAATAAACACATTGACATGTTAGGCAAAAGAGTCTCGATCACAGCGAGATGGTGTTTTTCGTCGGATAAGATAAATTATTTTCTACCATTTCGGGCAAGGATGGCTTTCTACAATTGTCTAAATCTATCAATAACAGGCTATTGCTGTGTTGGCTGGAGAAACACCTGTCCGAAAAAGAACTTAGACAAAATTTTAAAATTGTAGAAAAGAGCAGCACGGTTAATCCTTGATACTGACAGGAAATCACATTCATTACACTGACCTGTAGTGTCTTAAATCCGTCTTTTTCTGTTTTTTTCCTGAGTTTTTTCGTAGTCGAGAAATCGAGTTTGCGTTAGCTCATCGCAGGCTCAGGGTGCAATGATTAAGCCAAAATGCCATCAATTCCTCGGTTCCATGATTTAAGTATTATGGTAACAAGCTCGTATTTATGTACGTAATAGCCGGCTCATGCCATGCTTGTGGTACATTTTTCGTTCATTAGCCCATACACTTGTGCACACGCGCACAATTCCAAGGATGGAGTGCTCCAAGGATGGAGTGCTCCAGTGGCATATTGAGTTCAGGTTCAAAATGGCGGCTTTTCACTGAGCGATCTAATATATATTTAACACAGTTTCGTTGAATTTTCAAAGAATTGTGTTGGTTTCCTATGGAAAATACGTTGTGTCGCACTCTGGACTCTCTTGTGTGTTGAATTAATGTGTTTTTCTTTGTGTAACGACTCGAAAACCCCAAAATTTGGACCCAGCAAATTTATACAATATAGTGGAATATAAACAAGGACAAGTTTAAGGTTTGACAGTTTGACTTTTTAAATAACAAGTATAAATATACGCTGTAGACTCATAAACATGCGTTGTGCGCTTGTGCTCATTTGCATAATTCTAGATTTGCTCATTTGCACCTAATTATTTACATTAATTAATGTGCGCCAAATTACTTTCCATTCATCATATATTACTATAAAAATGTATTTTTTCGATTGTATTCAGCGAGGTGGCGTCGCGTGCGGCGAAGTGAAACGTGATACGGTTCGATTTGTTTTTGGGACAAATCCAACTCCCCCCCCCCACCCCCCCACTTTTTAATTCTCAAATTGTTTATTAGGGCTAGCTATTAGATGTTTACTGGTTGTAGTGGTTGGGGTTAGAAAAGGGCTTGGGGTAGGGATCAGTTTATCTTATAAATGGAAGCAAATTGGCGTATTTTTTAGAAGAATCGTCTATGTCTATGAACTTTTTAGCACCTGAAACGAGACATATAAAAGCATTAAAAATCAAGGACTATATAATTTTTTCGCTATTATTGGTCCATCATTATTTACGGTTGATAGTTGATAATCATACTTACAGTGAGCCTGGCTTGTCAGGCTGAGTTGCCCGTAGCCGGAGGGTACGCCTGAGCCGGCGTCTTGGTATATTATCGTCGATAACTTATATGGTCCAGACCTCCTGTATCCTTATCTACTTCTCTACTACACATTACACCCTATCAACCAAAGTTGCCATTTTCAGGCCAGTGTAAACGCCTGAGCAGGCGTCTTGTTACCTCAAAGAATTATAGTGCATTTATATGCATAATGTCCACCAGCACATGTGCAGTTGATACAAAACCTCTAAAACAGCTTTGAAACTGACCTTAAAACTGACCCTGTCTCTAACCAAATTGAACGACCAAGTAATTATAATTAATTATTAATTATAATTGTTTGGTTGAAAAACATCAAGAAAATGACGTCACAACAGTTTGGTCGTTGGAAATTTGTTATTGTTGTGATTGATCAATTTGCTATAAGGATAATTTTCATTGACATTTTTGGTAATTGTCTTGTTAGGTTTGGCGTTGGAAAGAACGGAATTGCCGTGAATGACAGACCTCGCCAACTTCTACCATTCAAGAGAATCCTTTATGCAGAGTGTGTGGGGATGATCTAGAAGAGATTATGGCAGCCTTGTGTCAGATGAAGTTATGATGAAATATTCCTTTTTTCCCCAAGTATGTTGCAGATGTATATGAAGACCTCACATCGTGGGTACTCTGTTACAGAGTCAACCTACCCTTGAGGGGCAATAACACAAACTATTACTGTGAAGCGTAATCCTTGAGATTCTCAACCGTCAGAAAGAAATGAGTAATGCTGTAGCTTTACTGGACAAATTCACATTGGAGTTTGACCCGCTTTACTGGAATAAACTCTTGGCAGTTGCATTGGGCAAATTCGATGAAATTTACATTAGACGTATATGGGCAGCATTGTTTTATCAGATATAAAGATCGTTACCAGAGAAGTACCAGGCAGAAAACGAATTCTAATAATAAATATGAAAGCCCAGCAAAGTGCTTTTAAAAGAGCCATAAACCATTAAATTTAAAATTTTTTAATAAAGATTTAGTAACGTTTCGTCTTAACTTAAGACATTATATTATGTATAATTTACTCTTACAGCTTTTAATTTAATATAGTCTGAAGATGTCTTAAGTTATGACGAAACGTTATTAAATCTTTATTTAAAAATTTTAAATTTAATGGTTTATGGCTCTTTTAAAAGCACTTTGCTGGGCTTTAATATATATTATTAGATATAAAGATGGTCTGATAAAACACGCGAATGTTTTCAAATGCTTCAGAAACGATCGATCTAGTAAGTTCATTGGCGAAGTAGCTTTAAAAAAATTCGTTGTGTATGTCGAGAAAATCAAAGTCAAAGTTTAAATGTAAATCAAAGGAAATCTCTATCACATAATATGAAGATACGACACGTTTAGCCTCAACTATCTGGTCTTGAATTATTCTTTACAGTGGACACATAACAAGACAACTATAAGAAATATTCGATCCCTGCTTGTGCTGGCATCAGAGCTATTAGAATATATATAAATATATAATTGAAAGATCAAACTTTTCCGTATCCCGTAGGAAGAATAGCGATAACCAGCGTCTTTACCTGACCACATAGCAAATTAATTATAATGATAGATTTTCTCTGTTATAGATTTTGAACTGAATTTCGAAGCCTAAATACTTGAAATATATTAAGAAAGAGTTTCCTCCAAAGCATTAACAGGCATATTTTTATGAGAAATATACGGCTATCTGCTATTCGATACGCGAGCAAAATTATTGTTGACATTTGAATTACGACTTTTCCGAAGTTTTTCGGTCAAGAACTAATTTGTCATAGCCATTTGGGCAGGCGTTTCCTCAAACGACGCCCTCTCTTCTCCCGCCTGCACTAAACGCCTGCTATATACGCATGCTAATGCAGGACTGGTATGAATGGGTCACCGGTATACCGTGTGAGCATGCACCAATACTCTTTAGGTCAAGAGTTGTAATTAACATTTACAAACACTGTTGCAGTTTATTACAGGCAGTTTTGGACGATACACATAAAATTAATTAGCTTCAATTTAAAGAAAGATACAGTCCACCGCACAGTACACGAAGAGAGCTAGGGATTAAGCCATTCACGTATAATCTGTAATCATGTACCAAGTCATAAATTTTACGCACAAAGTGTATTATCCTTGACCGGGCGTCATCTATGACACAATTATTATTAGTTTATTTCTTCAATTTTCTTGAAAATGACAAAATAAAACTTTTCTTAAAATCAAGACTTCTGAGTGTAAAAGGACTTCTTTTTTCAATCGCATTTTAGATGGCTTCGCATGTTTAAAAATGGAACGTTTAAAACATGATTTGAATTCATATAAGTGATATGCAAGTTAAATTTAAACATTTCTACATTTAAACGGAAAATTACCTTCATTTTTAATTGATCGAGTCACCAGAAGGTATGTGAAAACCAAGGTTGGTAAAATTACGAGAAAAGCTGTTTGTTTTGACTTGTACACCATCTTGCTCTAAAATGAAATTTGAAAGAAAAAATCTTATACCGCATGCTTTACTCGACTATGTTATCAATTATTTTAAGTTCCGAGCTTAGGGGCTGTTTACATAAGCCCGGTTAGCCGGGATGAGACGTAAGCCGGGCTGAACGTCAGCAAGGGAAAATTGGCGGGAAAAACTTGTTTACGAGTTAATAGCGTTATGTTTGTCACGAAAGTCAAATTCATGCTTTATTGGACAATTTTTCGATTAAAAACTACTTTATCAGCAAGATTAACTTGAGAAATAAGTCATTATCCGATCCAGAAACATATTTTTTGTGTTAAACAAGGTTTTTGTGCCAGCCCGGTTATCCGGGCTAATGACTTTACATGGATAAATTTCATCCCAGCTGACCGGGCGCCCCGTTTGAGTCAAGTGGGATCCCAGCTAAACGGGCTGGCCCGGTTGTCATGCAAAGTGAAATTGTTTTGTGTTGGAAATTACTATGAAGCCGGGCGCCCCGTTTTATAAGCGGGCCAGCCCAGCAAACCGGGCTCATATAAACAGCCCCTTAGGCACATCTTGTATACGGGGTAACTACAGTAGAACCTCGCTATCTCGAATAGGCAAGGGAAAGAAGAAAAAAAGCTCGAGACAGCGGGGCGGGTGCTTGAAAATTGTGGTGCTAAAAGAATGCATTATTTACCAACCGTTTTGTGGGTAAGTTCAAGTTGAAAAATCAACTTATGTGCATGTCGTATTCCTTAACTAATAACAACTAACTAACTTTGTTGAATTTCGACATAATCGGGTTAATTTCGGTCAAGGGATGAAACATGAGAGGTAGCGAGAAGTTCGTTAACCAAGTGAAAAATTATTGCTCTTCCCAATATTTTTCTACGAAGATACAATGAGATAATCATATCTCGCGCCTCGCGCTATGCACATGCCTTTTTTTCGTGCCTTTTTGTCGCGCCTTTTTTCCGCCTTCTGATTTTCGAAAAGTACCATTCCCCAGTTTCGTATAAAGACAGAGTCTCATAGTTGTGATGATATGTTTATTTTACATCCATGACACTACACAATATATTTCCTCATGCACCGTCCCTTTTACTACTTTGGGGTAAACTCCCACATAACTTGCGAAACTTGGAAGCATCCCTTGCTATTGACCATTCATTTTTGATTGCGGTAATCATTGATCCTTTTATGTTTGTAATTGTTAGCGGTGTTGGGTCAAACCATTGAACTATAAATAAACTGGAAGGCTAACTCCTATGATGAAAGCCTATGATTAATTCGTTGGAGCCGGCGCGCGGGAAAATAAGCTTTCAAAAGGACTAAGGAGACTTTCGAGGAGTGAAAAAAATTCGGTCAAAAGTTTGTTTTCGAGCACATATTTGCAAGAAAAAACCTTTTCCATGGGAATACAACAATGATTGGGATTCAAACCAGGTTTTCCGATTAGTTCCAATTGTGTTACATTTCTCTGCAGCAAAAAGTAAGGAGTTTGGCTTTTGTATTTTGAAAAAATGACGAAAGTTTGGACGTGCCGAAGGAAACCTCACTCTTCAACTCAAAAGAGTATACTATAAAACATTTTGACAGTCCCAAAATTTATTTTGTATTAAACCCCAGGTATTGTTATTGATCCTGAGCTTTTAGTCCTTGTTTTATTCCTTCTAAAGAGGGTCCTGAAGGGGGGGGGTCCCAATCCCATTTCCCACCTGAAATTTTGGCAAAACCCCAGTCCCAGTTTGATTTTTATTAGAAATCCCAGTCCCAGTTATTGAAATCCCAGTCAATAAAAAACCCTTTATTTATCGGTAGAATAAACAGTTTTAAGACCTTTTAAGCAAGTGGCGGACACTTTATGAAATATTGGGGAGGGGTGGGGGCTTGTGCCGAAGGCACGCTCTTCAAAATGGTTGAATATCACTGCTCGAAGCTCTTCAAAATGGTCACTTATCGAAGCTCTTCAAAATGGTTGAATATCACTGCTATCATCCAAGATGATAATTTCAAACTTCACTCACTGGTAAATGTGATGAAACACTGTAGAAAAACGTGAACAGATGTCTTCAGTTTTTAGAGTTAATAGATTTATAACCAGTGTAATTTGAGCTTGCACCCAGCGTGACGTCATAAATTAGCGGACATATGGCACATATCTCGGAAACAAACCATGAAAACAAGAAACTGAAAAATAAGTTGCACTACAGCTTAAAGAGTTCTTTCGTTTAAGAAAATAAGAAATTTCATGTCATATGGATTTTAAATTAAAGCCATATATATCGTTGATGGTTTGTGCTGAGGGAAGATTTGATTATTTAAATACTACATGTATTTAAATAAACACTTATATATTATATTGCGAAAATATAACTCGAAATTCTCTTTCCTGTCGTTTCGCCATTGCCCAAGTTACTTGCCTGCATGAATCGAAGACACAAGGAGGGTGCATGCAGCTGTAAATTTGTATATTGTATTACTCCCGAACACATGTACAATACGTACAGTGCTTAGTCTGGATAGTTAATTATTAGCCAGAAGGTGCATGCCTAATAGCCTGCAAGCAGGTTTGTTATTTACGAGTATCCATTTCAATGTAACTATAAATGTCAATATATCACACCACTCCCCCCTTTAAAAGTGTTATGTGTATCTTTTTGGAGGTCTTCGAATTCTTTTATATCTCTCACTCAATGTCGCTCTTCGTCCAAAAGGATCTTTCTGTTCCAGGATCTTTAGAAGAGGTTTGTGGTCGGTCCTCATCACTACTTGTGCTCCTAACAGATAATACCGAAAATGCTTAACCATCGTTTAGCCATCACTTCTCTGTCATAAGTTGGATATGAACGTTCTCGTTTGGTCAATGCACGACTGAAATATGCAACCGGATGTAATTTTCCTTGTGCATCTTCTTGTGATAGTTCACCACCCAGACCCACTTTACTTGCATCCGTGGTAACAACAAAGGGTCGAGTGGGGTCAGGATGGCCGGATGGGCTAATACTGGAGCTTTAACCAACTCATGTCCTAGTGTATTGAGTGCATCATCTTGTTCCTTACCCCAAGTGAATGTGACATCTTTCTCCAAAAGCCATGTTAATGGTCGAGCAATTGTACTAAAATCCTTGATAAACTTCCGATACCACCCAACTGCACCCAAAAACATTTGCACCTCTTTAAGACAAGTTGGTGCAACCAATGCACGAATTGCCTTTACTTTATGTTCCTCTGGCTGCACACCCTTGTTGCAAACTTTGTGTCCAAGAAATTTCACTTCTTTCATTGCGAAAGCACATTTCTTAGCTTTAATTCGTAATCCATGCCGTCGCAATGCATCAAATACTCCCTGGAGATTAACCAAATGTTCCTAAAACGTTTTGCTAATAATACAGATATCATCTCCCGTAGTAGGTCTAGTAGACCCGTACGGTAATAACAGGCTTGTTTTATTTCTGCCATTTCCGACAATTTAAAGCGAGAATCACTGCTGCCACCACTGTAAATTTGTATATTGTATTACTCCCGAACACATGTACAATACAGTGCTTATATAGTCTCGATAGTTAATTATTAGCCCGAATGTGCATGCCTAATAGCCTGCAAGCAGGCTTGCTATTTACGAGTATCTATTTCAATGTAACTATAAATGTCAATATATCACACAGCGAATGCGCGAGCCAATCATATCATAGGACAAGGGAAGAACGAATTAATTAGCCCCCCCCCCCTCCCCCGCTTGGGAAAAGATTGGTTGACCGTTCTATATTACGAATTCTACGCCATGTTCGCCTTTTTCAACACTATCCTCAACACTAGCTATCAACACATTTGCCTCAATTCATTCAGATAGCTACAACGGAATCTTGGCCAACAGTCTCTCAATACCTTACACACGTGAAGCAATCTACGTTTACATTTCTCCAGATCCAAAACTTGGAACGAAATCAATTACTTTCGCCTCATGGCCAGAAATTGCGGACATGGATTCTGAGCATGAGCGAACTTTGACAAACAAAATGGCGGATTTGTTATATATAAATCATTAGGAGTGGCGCAGTTTTTTTAAATTTAAACTTGTTTGATAATAGCTATGTCATTTGCAGACTTCGAAGTAATATAAACTATATCTGCACCATAAAACAGAAAGGTTTCGCATCGAAATCTTACCTATAAGTTGTTCCATTATTCAAGTTCACTTCATAGTACATCGGCGTATAATGAAGTATAGCAAAACTTGAGAAAATCGTTGAAAACATACATTTTGCTCTGGCCGCGTGTATGCCTCGAACCCTTCATGAAATTTGCAGACTTCGCGTCGTAAAATATATATTGTCCCCAGCTTGCCTGCATAATTTCATAGTAATACGCATTTTTTAACTAATTAATGACAGACCTTAAAGAACATTTTTGGTTATCTTGGCCCTTGTGCGTCTGATTACTGAAGTTTGCAACTTCAGCCATTCCCACCTGGGAAATCTCACCCCCACCATTATCCTCAACTTCTACCTCAGTATAATCCTAAAGCAACAAAAGAAACGATGGTCCCTCGCACCAACAACCAGCAAAACAGTGCCTTTTTTAACTATATATCTGGGGGGCCCAGGAAAAGAATCCCCCCCCCCCCCAGTAAAGCCATTTCTGCCCCGAAGTGCGAAGCAGAATTGCTCATGATTGCTGTCAGAATTGCAGTTGATTTACTTGATAATGAGATTATGCTCTTCCATAGCCTCCTCCACAGCCATCTTGTGTGTAATTCATATAACTGTTCTTCATCGAGTATTTCATAATAGCGATAAATTTCATGCAAACAATCCGATAAAATGCTGGTTCAAAGAAGAATAGATTTAGTTTAGATTTTTAACTGTTAAATACATGTATGGATCATGTATGCATGAATATTTCTTCTCACGGATTTATTCTGTATCGTATGAAAAAGCAACGCAGTTTTGAGAATGCGGAAATGGTGTCTCATAGAACCTAAAATGATTTAAATGCAACATTTCTGATCAAAATCACATTCGGATTCCCCCCCCCCCAGCATCACAGAGAGGATATTATAGTGTACTGAAAAGTTCACTAGATACCTCCATACACATATAACACACCCTAACCCCAACCTTAAACCTACCCCTAACCCTAACCTAACCCCTAACCTTAATACCTAACCCCTAACCCTAACCTATATTGGTGCGCGAAACATGGAATGATTAACCC